AGAGAGAGAGAGAGAGAGGACATGCTATGACTAGGCTCCTGCCATGGATTCTGCAAATCTCAGAGGTAGCATCTACCTGGAAATGGAGGCAATTCTTTTGGAATATGTGAAAAAGAAGGGGTAACATGGGAGAAGGTTCCAATATCAGGAAACGTACTTAAACTAATACATCAATCGTTGCATCTAAGATATTATATATGCATAACACATGGAGTCAAATAAAAAAAGAGCACATAAATATACCTTTGAATAACCATTTCGCAAATCTTGAACCACACAACCAGAAGGCAACCTCCTGCATTTCATGTTGCCTGGAGAAGATGCGTTCTCTCTGATACCATCCATGGAGACATCGACAACAGCCCAGACTCCCTCGGCATGCTGCTTGCAAAATCTGAGGAATTGGACTTCACGAATGGGAACTAGAGGTGAGAGAACTTGCAGCTCTGCATGCATCTGTAGACCAACAAAAATTTGTAAACTCGTACCAAGGATTCACCGCAAAGCTCTCTCTCTCTCTCTCTCTCTCTCTCTCTCTCTCTCTCATTCCAGTGTATCCCTTAACAGAGTCACAAAAGACCTAAGAATTGAAGGAATAATTCTAAAAGAATGGAAACCTGAATGATTTACAGTTATATACCAGAAATCATGCAATGCCGATTCAAGCACGAAGAAAGACTGAAATTTTAAAAGAAAATTACCAATTGAAGAGCCCCATTCCTTGTCCCAGCCATGCCACAGGATATAACATCGGTGGTTGAAGCTCTTGCAATTATAGAAGGGAACATTTGAGCCCAACGATCCTGCAGATAGCAAGAAGGCCACGGATCTCTAAACAATTAGAATGAAAATCACCCGAGTTTTTTGAGGCTCAAACAGTAACGATACCAACAAATGATCAAACAAATTTCATTGGTAATCAGTTGCTTATCATATATTTAAACCATTAATTTCTACAAGACATTTGGCGAGTTACAGATTCTTAGCATTTCTCAATACTGCAAAAATGCACACAGATGACAATCAACTGGCGATTTATGATGTGAAAATAAAATTATAAAATGACTCCTTGTTAATATAGCTGACATATCTTTCGAACAATATCCCCCTTGAGATTAACCAACAAATCTGCAGATTAGTCACTTTTTTAACTAATACTGAAGCTCCGTCCAAAGTCTAAACATAAAGATAAAGCAGCCGATTCAAAATTCACAAATACCATCAAGTCAAACCCAATTCAAACAAAGTTATGAAAGGCAATCCACAGAGCTTCACCATTGCTATAATTATCGAAGAGAAGCCTTTCCAATTCCGTAGAAAAATAAAAAAGTAAAGGCAAATCAAAGATAGCTTTAAAAATAAGTTAATAATCAAAATTATAAAATTCAAAAGCAAGAAAAAACTAAGTGTTTTTTTTAGGGGATAAAACATGTGTGGAGTTTATATCTAGACATAGACAAAAGCAAATCAAGGCTTAGGAAGAGCAAACATACCGCATCCATGAGAGTCTCCACAAGGGCCAAGCTATTGAGGATCACCACCCCGGTCTCTCTTGTGGCCTCAGTGACAAACCCGACAGGCTTCGGCCCAATGCAGCGAGCAAAAACATCCAAGTACTCTTCAAGATTAAGAGTCTCCCTCCCATTCTCTAAACTCCTAATCCATAAGGGCTCATCCACCTGAGCCATCTTAACCAATTCATCCATAGCGACTAAAGCAAGCTCCAACATTGATCTCTCCAAACCAAGCCCGTTCCCATTTGGCCTGGCTTGAATCGAACCCAATGGTGCACAAGCCGTGGACCCAAACTCAGTCACTTGGGGCAAGGAGCTCACCACAGGGCTCAGACCACGAAACCCATTTCCGCCCACTGCAAGCTCCAATGAAGAATTGGGCATTGATGAGATTGGTGGCATGGGTGTTCCTATGAACTTTCCAGCCAAGGCACAAACCCTCTCGAGCTCGTCTTTTAGCCGTGCATTCTCTATCCTAAGCTGTTGCTCTTCCAATGAGACCTCGCCAAGCACTGCTCTTCCCCCACAATTTGAGCAAATCGGGCTCCTCATCGCATCTCTTATTGACGCGTTCTCCGCCCTGAGCTTGTCACACTCTTGTCTAAGGATCGAGTTCTCGTGCCGTTCTAATTGCGTCTGAAAGCAATCATTTCCAAGAATTTATGAACAAGAAAAACCCGAGATAGGTAAACCAAAGTAGAAACAAGTAAATACTGCAGGCTTGGATACCTCAAAATATCAAAGTTCAGGCTTATCAGGGTGTTATAGAATGAAATTGCAGATAAGAAGAAAGGGAGAAAGGAGGATTCACGAAGAGGGGGAAGAAAAACATACCTTCATCTGAGTACGCCGGTTTTGGAACCAGAACTTGACTTGCCTGCTCTCAAGACAAAGCCTCTTGCTGAGTTCCAACCTTTGTTTCTCATCAGGATGAGGGCATTCCTTGAACAACCTGGGGTTCAACCATGAGTATCGGGTTGTTTTTTCAGAGACCAAAAACCAGTAATGAATCCAAACAACAAGAAAACCAGACCCATAGAGAGGAACTAAAACACAATCCACACCAAAAACTCGAAAAAGAGCCATGAAAAAGAGAGAACCAATGAATCAAAAACCGAAATAGACATCATTGAGAAGAATGAGCAATCAGTAAAATATCTTATGGGAGAGGAACGGGCACTCACGATTCGAGTTCTTGAATTTGTTGCGGAGTGTGCCTGTGATACCGCTTCTTTCTTGGCGGGTTGTCGGCATCTTGATCATCTCCTGATGCACCACCATCCAAATTGTCACTGTTACCAGATCTACTCTCATACTCATCTTCCTTACTACTCCTGCCCCCTTCAATCTCAGCGCCTCCAATCCTCCCCATGTCCACTTGCCCTTCCCCTCCACCCTCCCGACCACCGCCACTGCTTGTCTGCAAAAACCATCCAACAATAAGAAGAGAGAGTCTGTTTTTGTGTGTTTTAGAGAGAGAAAGAGTATGTGGAGATAAGAGTGTTTGTACAGAGAGAGGAAGAGAAACATGGGATGAGAGCATGGTTCCTACCTATGTGAGCTGCAAGATGTACATCTTCTAGGCCCAAGAGAAAGAGAAAGCAAACAACATAAAGCAACCAGGAAATCTTATAATGAAATGGTAAACTTCAGAATGAGAGAAAGAGAGAGAGAGAAAGACTGAGAGCATGGTTGCCGCTCACCAGCGCAGGAAACCCACCACCTACAGTAACCAGCTAACCCCATAACCTACAGAAGCAAGTTTTTAGAGAGAGACACAAGTTTTTAGAGAGAGAAATAGAGAGAGACCTGATTAAATCCAGCCACCCATGGTATCCAGAAAATTCTCAAAACCCAGAAAATCAAATCTGAAGAAAGAGAATCAGAACCCAATATCTTGGGTGACGAACAGACAAAAAAAAAGTCGCAATTTTTTAATGGGAAACCCATCACCCAAATCACACAGCTAATCCATAACTAACGAAACCAAAAAAGAATACAGATAGACACAAGTCTTGAACTCTCAAAGAGTGAGAAAGTCGAGAGAGAATTTAGAGAGAGAAAGAGCATATGAAGAGAAAAAAGCAAAAACAAAGATACCCTAGAAATCAATGAAATTTGAGGAGAAAACTTTATGGAATGAGCTTACCAATGCAAGTGAGAGACCAGAAGAGTTGAAGATGGGTTTTGCAGATCTGGGCAATACAGGAAGGCATGAAGTTTGGGCAATTACACCAGCAGGCATGCTGTAAATATCAGATACAACTTTTCCACCACCAGGATTACTATCAAAAAAGCCCCCAAAGCTCATCACATCTCTCTCTATCTCTTATTCTCTCTCTAAATATATATATATATATATATTATTCTCCCTCTAACCTTCTCTCACTATCGGACCCTGTGAATCCTGCTATTATAATTTCCTTTTCCCATTCATTTCATCAACCATTCGCCATATCTCCCACCCAATCTCTACTCTCCCTATTTATACTAAAGCCACAACAGAGAAAAAGGCTGCTACCGCAGAGAGAGAAAGTAAAGGGAAAATAAACAAGGTGAAAAACCCAATACCCAGATAGAGTGAGAAGCTGAAGGGATTAGAACTTAGAAGAGAGGACACAGCACCAAAGAGGAAGCAATGGCTCTCTCTCTCTGACTCTATCACAGACACAGAGAGAAAGAGGGAGAAAAGAAGGCAAGCAATAATCTCTCGAGTATTTGCTCGCCTTTGGTTCTCTCTCCGTCTCTCTTTCTCTTTCTACCCCTCAAAACGCTAAACCCTGAGTTAGAGAGAGAAAAATACACCACCTTCTATCTATGTCCCTTGCATGCCACCTACAACTGCATGCTCAAAAACCCAACTCACCAAAACAGGAAGTAAGAGAAACCACACAGTTAATGGTGCGTGAAATGAAGAGATAACCAGCACAACCTAGAGAGAGAAAGACAAGAGAGAGAAAGTCAGGGCCATGGAAATAGATAATTCATCATGTGGACGCTACCAGTCCTTTGGAAATTATTAAAGAAAACAAATAGAAAAGGTCGGTTGACCACTTCCCTTTCAAACCTGCATGTAAAACAAGAGAGAAAAAGTAGAGAGAGAAACTAGAGAGAGAAAGTACAGAGAGTGCAAGCTTCCAACCATGAAATATTGTCCGATAGGAAAACCGGTTGGAAGAAAGCTTTTGGGGTTTTCACTTTCTCCCTCTACTTTTCCCGAGGAACTTCTTTCTCTCTCTAAAGACACTTTTCTTCTTCTGTCTACCAGGCGTAAAGCTGTAAAAAGAGGAGAAATTCGTCGCCATGTGTTGGGATCTGCACCTTGGGGAAAAAGGCCCTGCAGCTGACTTAGGATGACTCCAGAGGCTCAATAGTCAATGAATTGTTTTCCTCTCACCTCTTTCTCCCTCTAAAGTCCAACTATTTTGAACCTATAAAGAGGGGGTCAGATGACCTCTCTCGCACGAGTTTCTCTCTCTAAACGCGTCTCTACAGAGTTTCTCTCTCTAAACGCGTCTCTCCAGAGTTTCTCTCTCTAAAAGTGTGAATGTACGTTTCCAAGCACATTGACCTTTATGCATGCATCCAACAGTATGGAAACATGTTACTATGTTTTTCCCCCTTTATCACACTTATAAACATGACTCTCTCCACCCTTCTCCCTTAAGCCCTACGTTTCTAGGGACTCGATAGTATGGTATTTAGAAACGGTTCGGCGACCAGGCATCGTAAAAATCGGTTTAGCTTGATGAATTGACGGTCTGGATTATCGTTTTATTGTAAGAAAAAATTAATGAATTGGTGAAAAAATACATGTAGAAATAGTGAACCGGCTAAAATCGGTCTACATTGATGAATTGACAGGCTGGATTGCCGTTTAATTGTGAGGAAAAGTAGTGAATTGACGAAAGCTACATGCAAAACCAATGAACTAGCTTAAAGCCGGTCCGAATCAACGAATCGATGTTTTTATTTTAGCAAAATGTTGTCCGAATCAATGAATCGTTGTTTTTATTTTAGCAAAATGTTGTTTTACTATAGCAAACCTTTGGATTTCTTCTAGACCCAAATGATTGCTTATATATTGACATAATCGAAATGGGTGACCTATTCCCTGATGAGACCGGGTGATTCCGTGCCGATTCTGCAAATGAGTTGGTAGAAAAGATTAGTATGGTGGTTGCTGAGTTCCTATGCATAAAAAATGAATTGTGGGGTGTCTCAAAAATGGATATGATGTATAATTTTAAGGGAAAACTCCCAAGACTACACTTCTTATGCAACTTACCCCAACCTAATGTTTTTTCTAACTTCTTCCTCAAAATACATTTTTTATACAAATACCACCAACCAAATAAAATAATAAAAAATACCTAAACTACCTTTCATTACTTTTATCTTACTTACGCCTGTCTCTCTATCACTCCAAAATAGGGGCTCTGCCATTATGTAAAGTGCAGTCCGACCGTTGTAAAGGGCGATTACCTACGCCTCTTCCCCTATCACACCAAAATAGGGTCTCTACCAGCAGTCCGCCCGTTGTAAAAGGCGGTCTGACAATAGATGTTACTGGATTCCAGGACTTCGGCACTATGTAAAAGGCGATCTGACAGTACTCAGCTTCGGACCGATAATTGTCTTAAGGCGGTCCGGCATTTGTGCGCTCCGGTATTGTGCTACTGGGGTCCAAAAGTCAACGTCAAATATGGCCAAAATGATTTTTGTGTACGAGAATGGTATTTTCATCTAAAAAATAAATTTTTTCCCTTAGGGGTAGTTGTATATAAAGTTTGTTTTGGGGAAAAAATGAGATAAATAGTTAGATTCGGGGTAAGTTGTATAGAAAGTGTGGTCTTGAGAGATTTTTTGTAATTTTTCGTGATCTTAATGTGCCTATCAGAGAGAAATAAATGAAGAGTATTAGTAGGTATATGAAAATACCCATGTAATGGATGGCTGAAGTTGACCGTTGATGGATGCTAAATGGGTAATCCAGGTCAAGGGGGTGTGGGAGGTATAGTTAGGGATTGAGAAGGTATAGTTTTACTGAAGTAACATGGACCTATCGGGGTGGTGACTACAAATAATGCTGAGCTTCATGCGGTTCTTTAAGGGGTTAAATTGGCGGTAGAAGGGGATTATATGAATATTGTTAATTGGTTAAAGAGGGAAGCTGATTATCCATAGTCTTATGTCTTTAGTTTTTTTACTACTGTTGAGTTGGTATATAATGTTAGACATGTATATCGAGAAATGAATATGGAGGCAGATGGACTTGCAAATTTGGGTGCACAGGGTAGTAGTTTAGTTATTGAGAGATTTTGAGTGGTAGGATTTTAGTGGTTGGTAGTTTGTTTTCTTGTTTTTTTTATTGTTTTGTTTTGAAGGTGTAATTTTGTTCTATTGAATAAAAATTTGAGGCTGTTCTTAAAAAAAAAGTGATTCCATGCTGATTTGATGTTTTTTAAATCACTGCATTTTTACTTAGTCATGGTAATTTAGAATGAAAGTATATTAAAATTTTGATGTTTTTAGATTAATTAAGATTAAATTTGGTATGTTTATGCTTCTCACCATCATACATCTATAAAATATTATTTAAAAAATGATACAAATAAAATTATCAAATTATCTCTAAATAGTATGGTGGCAGTTTGATAAATTTATTTATTCATAAAATATTTTTTACACGTTTTATGGATGTATAATGGTACAGCAATGAGAATACCAAATTTGAGCTTATTCTAATGTATATATATTGAGATAAAATCGAGATGCACTTCATGTTCATAAAAAAATAGTTGATTATAAAATATGAAATATATAATTATTTAAAAAATATATCAAAAATAACAGACGACTTGTTTGCAAATTTCCCTTTATAAACATATTTATAATTATTTAAAAATTACAAGTCTAGAGAAGAAGTGTTTTGAGAGGACTTGGGTGGAGGAAGCAGGATATTTCCCTTTGAGGTTTTTGGTATTACAGGGTTTCAAACGAGTCGACTCGTAGACTACTCGAGTCTAGATTAAAATCAATTGTTGGATCCGTTCAATTGGGTTTGGGTCTACATACCATGGATCTAACCCATACGCCCTGGACCATTCGAGTCAGTTCGATTTTAGGTCGGAAACAAAGTCATGTAAAATAATATTATTTAATTATGGTATAAGGGGGTCATTATTATTACTAATTGTTAGATGGGGCATTAGATAGTTAAATGTGTGTTATTGGCGGGGCACAAAGTCGTCATCATCATTATTAGAGTTTTTTTTTTCAACTATTTAGGGGTTGGCTACATGAATAATGAGTTATCATTTTGATTTATCAAAGGTCATATCCTCAAGGAGTAACTAAGCATAAAATATAAAATAAAATTTCTTAAATATTGTGATATACTACAATTGTCGAATTTCACATCCAATTGCCAAAAATAATCTTCATCTCGCTATACCATAAATAAAGAGTCTTATATCATACAATTCCCTATATAAATGTGATATTATAACTTGTAGGAAAAATATATAATGAGACTATTTTTTATATATAAGGTGGTCACAATTAATCTTCACCGTTGGAGGTGAAATTGGGTTGATGTAATTATTTCATTAACCAAGCTCAAAATTCAAAAAGATTTTTCTCGAACTTTATGACACACTGAAGATTGTGACTTCCTTGCATGGAAAATAAAAAGAAAATTACGTACATATAATGTTAAGGGCAGGGTGAATTACAAAATGGTAAATACCAAGTTTCGTAGGCAACTAGTCATTTTGTTTTCCCCCAAATTACTCTATCCAATAACACAAATACTGTACATGAGATTATATTTTTGAAAGTAAAAAAATGTTGTCATGTATTTGAATCACCCGACAGCTTCATTTCTTTTAATTAGTTTTTGTTACCAGGTAATTGAAATATGGGATAACTCTATATGCGACAGCTTTCCATCATTTTTAATTAGTTTGTGCTGTCGGGTGTTTGAAATACCATATAACTCTATACGCCACGGATAACGTTACAGAAAAAAAGATCAATTACTCGGTTTATGATAGAGGGGAGAGATTGCTCGTATGTCCCGTTTCTCTGGTTGCTGTCGAGTGTTTGAAATATAAAATAACTCTACGAGTCAGGAATAGAGTTACAGAAAAAAAGAGCGAGCCATTACTCTGTGATAGAGGGAGAGATATCCACTACTTCTCTCCATCTATTGCATCACCTCATTTCCCATTCTTGTCTCTCCTTAAAACAACCAAATGCATATATCTCTATCCGCCTCTCTCACTAGAATGCAGAGACCAGCAAATGACCAGAATGTATCTACCTTTCAAGATAATCAAACTAAGTAAAATTCTTCGCCCCCAAGAAAACCCATTCGGATTGATGCAAAGAAGATAACCCCAACCACAAAAACCCCCACCAAAATGCATCCTATCTCTCTCTCTCCCTCTCCCCTCTCTCTCTAAAACAAAACCCAAAAGAAAGATAAAAGTGCAGGAAACTTCAGAAGCATGAACTTTGAACGGCGTGGCGTGGCGTGGCAAGCATCCCCCCTCCTCTCTCTCTCGGTCTAAAATCAAAGCACTTATATATTTATTATCCTTTTTCTCTCTCTTGTTTTTCTCTCTCTAAAATCAAAACGCAGGTAATACTGTTATTGGATCATATACAAACAATTGTGTCTGAATTTTTTTTTAATATAATTATTATTATTGTATTTCAAATTTATTTTTTTCATAATCATGACGTTCATGTTAGAGATTATATATTTTTTAAAATTATGATTAAATTATTTTTTAAAAAATATATTTATTGCCAAGCCGTATTTTGACCATATGTGTGCTGGCCGAATAGAAACCATCCCGTTTCTTTTATATCTCATCCGGTCCGAGAATACTCGGAGTTGAACCGAACAAATCAAAATTCGACAGCTCAGTTCCCATTAGCACTCTCTCTCTATCCATCTCGGGTCGCAATGGGTCTAGTAGGGTCGGGTGTGTCCAGGTCCAAATTGGACCTAGCCCGTCCTTGGTTCATGTCATCCCTAAACTATATGAAAGTTCTTTTTGTCGGCACGATTTTCTCTCTCTAAAAGTGTGAACGTATGGCATACGCTCATTGACGTCCATGCGCTAGCCAATTATTTATAAACATGTAACCTCTTTCGAAGCCCTAAACTAAATACAATGGTCTTTCTCTCTCTTGTCTTTTCTTGACTCTCTCTCATCTTTTATTGAAATAGTGTTCTCTCTCTCTCATCTTTTCTTGACATACTGTTTC